CCGATCAGAAGGGGAGATTGGGACCTTTCCGGGAGTCGCAGACATATGTGCTGGGAACGCATAGGACACATGCTCTCAGCAAATATGTATTTTCTAATTGCAGCAAATATGCAGCCGCTCGACGTCAAGGCCCAGACGCTGAGAAGCCGCATATTTGCGTGCAATCGGTGTCAATGGGTTAAACGTAAAATATAACGAAATGCAATTTGCTCAGTTTTAAATAGAGTGAAAAGTAACTAGAAAACCTGTCTGTGCTGCTTGTGTCCCCTTTAGGGAGATTCAGCCTCTCTATTTTTCCTGGTTTTTATCACTGAGAGTAAAATTTAATGAAAATTTTAAATTTTGGATTATCACCATAACAGGAATAGAAGGGAAATCTTCCAGGTCTTTTGACCCTTATGACTACCAGGGATTCCCTCACTTTGGAGAGATTTCCTCTCACCTGTTTTGGCTATGAGACAGGTAGTGAAGGGAAATGTCCCCAACAGGAGACAGATAACAAATACAAAATGGCAGGGGTTATAACCTTCCCTTATTGTATCTAAAATGTCATTAGATCTAATTTAACCATTTCAATACCGATTAGCAATTTTACACCTTCCTGCCCAGGCCATTTTTCAGGTTTCAGCGCTCTCACACTTTGAATGACAATTGCACGGTCATACAACACTGTACCCAAACTAAAATTTTATCATTTTCTTCACACAACTAGAGCTTTCTTTTGGTGGTATTTATTCACCGCTGGGGTTTTTATTTTTTGCTAAATTAACAAAAAAAGACCAAAAATTTTAAAAATACCCACATTTTTCTTTGTTTCTGTTATAAACGTTTACAAATAAATAATTGTTCTTCATAAATTTAGGCCGAGATGTATTCTGCTACATGTCTTTGGTGAAAGTAACCCAAATTAGGATGTATTATTTAGTTTGTAGGAAAGTTATAGAGTTCACAAACTATGGTATAGATCTGAATATTGATCAATCCTGAAGTACTGACAGCCAATCTAATTTCTTGAGGTCCAAGAATGTCAGAACAGTACAGATATCCCACAAATGACCCCTTTTTGCAGAGTAGACAGTCCGACGTACTTCATAAGAGGCATGGCGAGTTTTTTGAAGTTGTATTTTTATGTCATAATTTTTCGGAAAATTAAAAAATTAAAAAAATTATTTTCACTATTTTTTTTTTTTACATACTGTCACCAGTGCAGTACAGCGTCATCATATAACTGGCATGGCGGTTAACAGGGACACTGACTGGTGACAGTATGAAAAAAAAAAATATTTTTTTTTTTTTATTTTTTTTAATTTTTTTATTATATTTAATTTTTTATTACATTTTTTTTTATTTTTTTTTAAGATTTTTTTTCCATATTTTACTATGACCAAAGTAGTACAATGTTACCATAGTAACACTGTACTACTTTGGGGAAGTGATCAGTATTTTTTTTTTTTTTTTTACACAATTTGCTTATAGCAAAGAATTACTTTGCTATAAGCAAGCATTTACCTGAATGAAATCGATTCATTCAGCTTTTTTTTTTTTTTTTTTTTTTTTTTTGGTGCTTAGCTGTGATTTGGTCACAGCTAATCACGACATGTGCATGTGATTAGCTGTGACCATTCACAGCTAGGCACTAGTATACAATGGATGGCATCATGAATGAAGCCATCCATTGTATACAACTGTCATGTGACCTGCTGTGATTGGTCACAGCAGGTCACATGGTACCAGCAACGGGAGCCGGTACTCGGATCTGTCATCGGCCGTGTCCGAGGTGCACGGCCCGTGACAGATCCCGCTGCTGCGTCGCTCTGCATTACCGCAAACGGCGCATGTGCGGGAGCACGCCAAATGGCGTGCACCCGGAATGAAGAGGCACATCTGAAGCCGCCAAACGGCCATTGGCCGGGCGGCTAATGGTTAAAGCAAACACATAATGGGCAAGCAACATGTTGCCCTTAATTCCCACATACTCCCAGCATACACTTCTCCTTTGCTCCATTACCATTGCATTCAGTTGAAAAAATTTAAGGCAACACCCAATACATCTGAATTTGGAAGAGCATGCAATCCTGCATATAACATAACTGGGCCAGTGAGGTATTCCATGGCCCAGTGTACCCACATGGAAGAAAAATATATTTTAAATATACTTTAAAAATATTCTTCCCAAATATATTCACATATATTTGAAATTCTACAATTTTGTCCGTATGCGATATATATATATATATATATATATATATATACTGCATATTGAAATGCTTTTTATATATTCCAAAATATCTGAAACATTTTTAAAAATATATTTTTTTAAATATACTCTTCAGATTTTTTTTAACATATGAAATAGTCATTTTAACATATATTTTTACATATATTTGTAAATGCATTCCAGAAACATAGATTAAATGTATTTTTAAAGACATACAGTATATTTTAAAATGTATTTTTAAAAATAATTTTCCTATATTTTGTAATAAAAACTCATTTATATATATAGAGCTTATGAAGCACACAGTCACTCACTTCCTTCTTTTTAAAGGCCATTTTTGCCCAATTTTATTTAAAAGAAAGTTCCATACAACCTAGTTTTCCCATGCAGGGGTATCCACCATCAATGCAAAACAAAAACAAAGATTCAGCCTCCTGGCTCTCTTTAGCAGCACCGGTGCTCAGGCTTCATGTCTCGGTCCTCTTGACCATTAGGTTAGCGCCCTTTCACAGCACTCCTGCTTCTCCAGCCCACAGGCTTGGGCCTGTCTGTCAGACTTTTCTGTGCCACCATGCACACTTGTGGCTGCTCCCTTGCACCCACATGGACTCCCCAGGAGGGTGGAGCCTAGAACCCTGGTCCTGACTCTAGAAGAGACCCACACACACCTGACCAATCAGTCTCCTGACCATTCCCAAAACCTGGTCTGAGGATTGGAGATTTAACCCTCCCAAAGCACTTTGAAATCTCCAGGCTCCAGGTTCCGAAATGTACTTTACAACCAAATGAGGAAAGTGAAAAGCCAGTTTCCTCTGCATTAAACAAGTACCCTGGAGCCCCTGAACCTGCCTTGTTGATAATCCCAGTTGATATATCCTTTCTACACTGTGACAGGTTGCCACACTGTCACAATATATATATATATATATATATATATATATATATATATATATATATATATATATATATATTGAATATGGCAATATGGCCAAAATTGTGGTATTTCACATATATGTCAATATATTTGGAGAGAATATTGTACAATATATTTAAAATATATTTTTCTTCCATGTGGGTAAATTACAACTTGTAGCTTACCTGGTGATTTCCTACATTCATGGTAGAGGAACAGGTGACCGGGAAGTCAAAGGTGGGTATATACTGCTTGGGAGGGCTACATTAAAATTAAGCTATTGCTTTTCCCTGTGTGGGTGAAGCACAGATTAACCTTAAGATCCATGCAGAAAATAACTATAAACTTTGTCATACAACTTGTTTTCTCACCATTCAAATATGATTGTGATTACTGTCATCCAGTACTGGGATGGAATGGGTCAGGCTGTTGTTCCATGGGATGTGGTGGAAATAGGGGCCCCTAGCACTTGAGACAATATATTTAAAAAATATATATTTTTAAAAATGTATATTTTTTTAAAATATATTCTTCAGATTTTTTTAACATATAGAACAACCATTTTAACATATTTGTAAATGTATTCCAAAAATACTGGCAATATATATGGGAAGAATATTTTTTAAATATATTTCAAATATATTTCTCTTCCATACGGGGATGGAGATAGGAAAGAGTGCAGGGCACATTATATATCACCTAGAATTAGGGTTATGGTCAAAATAATAAAAGTAAGGCATGGCTAAATGGGTAACAGGCTGGCCATTGACACCCATGTTTCTTCCCAGCCCTGAAAACAATTATCCGCTATCAACCATCTTGAGACCTGACAGAAATATTCTCGTGTGTGTATATTAGCTGGCCCATGAGCTTCTGTGAATATAAATGAGGGCTGTGCTGCATATGCAACACAGGTCAGCTACACTAGATGGTTGTCTCAAGTGACTGTCAAATCTGTTGCATGAATTTCATACGTTTTAGTATTGGACAAACAACATAAATACAAATATCTAAATCATAGTCTGGTCCTTGTAGAGAGATATTTACTAGCTATCAATAGTCAATGCAGGTGATATCAAGACCTGTAACACTACTGGGCACCTGTGCAGCAAGCAGTGAGTTCTCCAGACATAAGCCCCATATACACGTTGTGAATATCGGACGAATGACTGTCCGTTTTTTTTTTACATGCTAGTGAAGAGGTTACTAAATTTATTAAAATTCTGGTACAACAGATGTAATGTATTGTAATGTATTTGTATTGCATTTTTGGACAAAAACTGTAGTCGTTAAATGAAAATCGCATAATCTGGTATCGTACGGCAAACATTTTCGGGTGATTGCTGTGTACTAACGAACAGATTATCGTACGATCGTTTTGAAAGTGGCATTTTTTTGTTTGCTTTTCTGATCATGTGTACAGGGCCATACACCCATGCCTGAAAGTGAATAGGGGAATGATGATCGTTGCTATTGCCTGTTGCCTTTTGTCTGTCTTTGTGTAGTTTTTTTTTTTTAAACTTTAGTGAGGAAGGTAAATAAAAAAAACTTGCATAATTATATATTGCAGCACAATATATGTATTAGCAAACAAGACCACAAGTGCTATGTATACTTCTTGCTATAAAACATAGGTTACCTTGTTTATTTATGGCATACAGTATATCTTACAGGGAAAATAGTTATTATTATTATTATTCAGGATTTATATAGCTCCAACAGTTTGCTCAGCACTTTACAATATAACGGGAGACAATAAAGCAACAATACAGTTCAAAACAAGAGGGTTAGGATCTAAGAGGGAGGGGCTAGTAGTACAAAAGGTAATAACTGTGGGGGATGGACTGGTTGGAAGAGTATAAGATTTGATTATTAGCTGAGGGCAGGATAGGCTTCCCTGAAGAGATAGGTTTTCAGAGATCTCCTAAAAGTGAGCAGAGCAGGCGATAGTCTGATAAATTGGGGTAGAGAGTTCCAGAGGATGGGGGAAGCTCTGGAGAAGTCCTGGAGATGTTCTTTGGAGGAGTCAAGGGAGCTAGAGAGCAGGAGGTCGTGCAAGGAACGGAGAGTACGGTTTGGGTGATATTTAGAGACAAGATTGGTGATGTAATTTGGGGCAGAGTTATAAAATGGTTTTATATGTTATTGTTAAAGTTTTGAATTTTATTTGTTGGGCAATGGAAAGCCAGTGGAGGGATTGGCAGAGCGGGGTGGCAGATATGGAACAGTTAATAAGGTGGATGAGTCTGGCAGCAGCATTCATGATAGACTGAAGAGGGGATAGCCTGCGATGAGGTAGGCCAATGAGGAGGGAGTTACAATAGTCAAGGCGGAATGTAATATAACAGGTGTGGAGGTGGGTGTCCTAATATTGTGCACTTGTAATAAATTTGGACATATGAGCATTCAGTGTCTTTGCCCTGTACCACACCTTCCATGTATAATTTATATGCTAACAGCCTTACATCTGATCCAGAGTGCTAGACCTAAATGGAACAAATAGTGGTTTTGTGCTTATATGTTATTTGAAGTAATACATCCCATATTGGATGACTTGCTACAAGGTGTCAGAGAAAGCCATTTTGCTAGTAAAGAGATGGGTACAACTTTTAGCTAATCTTTAGTGCTCTGGAAATATATATACTTTTTATTTGTAAAACAAAGAATGTTTTCCTATACTAAAATACAAAAATAATTCATCAATTTAACACATATAGACTTAAAAAAAAATTTCAAAAAATGTAAAATAGAATTGAGCCAAAACCATTATAGTTTCATTTTAGAGTGGACCTCCAGGAGAACTGCTAATTACACCGTTAAAATATTTTATTTAGTAAATTGGATCGTGCTTTGCTGGGTCTTTATGCCTTCCTCTGGATCAACTGTGGGTATAGGATTATAACTTTTTTTTTTTTTTTTTAAATGGTTGAACTGGATGGACTTTTGTCTTTTTTCAGCCAGACTAACTATGTACCTGCTGAAGGTTATGTAATTCTGTAAAGCCAGTCTTGTGATTTACACACTTCTAATCATATCTGTTATGCTTCACAGCCTGGGATATCATAGTACTATTTCCTGGTTCAGGGTTTCTGCTATCTGGATCAGCACATACTCAGCTGACAATGGTGATAATGCTAATTCAATGGGGCTGATTTCCTAAAGAAGTCTGTAATCTGCACACAGTGTGTGAAAATCTATATCAGTTATCCAAGCATGTAAAATGCACATTCTGGTTTATTCTCCTTATTTATTTTTATTCATCAACACATGATTGGGTATTCACATCACAGTTGCAATTTGAGTGAAGATTCTCAGCTGATTAGCACGTAAACCCTATTGTCTAGGGGTCCTTTCATGAAAACTGAAGCTATTTTACATCAGTTTACATCAGTTGATTCAGCTATCTTCATTTTAGTTTTATCACTGTGCATCTGTTGTTTCCATCTCTGGGTTTTTTTTTTAGTTTTTTTTTTTAATTTTAGTTTTTGAATAAAATAGTCATGTGGATAAAAGTGTAAACAAAAAATAGGTTTCTTTGCTAAAAATGGAAGTTTACATCAGTTGATACCAGGGGAGGACTGACCATTCGAGCACTAGGGCACTGTCCGAGGGCCCGGGGTCGGTAGGGGGTCCCATGAAATGCCCCTGGTACCTTTTTTATAGGCTTTTTTGGGTCTGCTTTGAGTGTGGGCAAGGACACAGGGGCCCCATGATCCCCTATTGCCCAGGGGCCCCATGAGTTGTCAATCCGCCCCTGGTTGGTACAGCTATTTTCAAGTTAGTTTTATCACTAAAAAAAAAAAAAAAAAGAAAAGAAAGTTCCCAGCTCAACTTGCCAGTCAGCTTACCAACAGCTGAATTAACCTGTCTAACAGTATGCGTTAAAAACAGGGGTTAGTTAGCACACATTTGCAAATACATACATAAGGCACAGAGCCTCGTCACGGCACCCCAATATTCTGCAGTCCTAACTCTACAAGTTTTGAGAGCCCCCATAGTAGAGGCACATGTATTTACTGGATAGACCAAGGGCATATGGACCTGAGCTAGCCCACCCCTCCTTAATGGCACAGGTAAGCACTGGACACCCAGCGTGCAGCACAATGGCAGCCAGAGTGTCCAGTGCACCCCCTCACCAACAAATCAACAGTACAAAAAAACTGTTATAGACTGGGGCAGTGGCCATTTTTTGTATAGTTTTACCACTATGCATCTGTTGTTTCCATGTCTGATTTTTTGTTTCTTTTCTTTTTTTTCTTTTAGTTTTTAAAGAAAATAGTCATAAGTGGATAAGGGTATAAACAAAAAATAGGTTTCTTTGCTAAAAATTGAAGTTTACATCAGTTGATACAGCTATCTTCAATTTAGTTTTATCACTATGCATCTGTTGTTTCCATGTCTGGTTTTTCTTGTTTTTTTTTTTTTAGTTTTCTTTTATTTTAGTTTTTGAAGGAAATAGTCATACAAGGATAAAGATGTAAGCAAAAAAGAGGATTCTTTGCTAAAAATACAAAAAAATGGAAGTAAACGGAATGGACGTAAATGGACAACATCCATTTACAGAACATCCATACCAGAATCCAGAGCTCCACTGCAGACCCTCACCTCCTGTCATGCATAGACAATTCAATTGCGGGCTAATATAGCCTGTCTCCTTCCAAAAAATGTAATAAGATAACAGTTGCAATCCAACGTTATCAACCATTGTGGTAAAATGCGTTAAGTAAATACATTATACAATTTTCTTGAGATTTTTTCTTTAGATTTACCAAAAAACATATAATACGAGGTCAAACCTAAACAACACTTTCAATTGTATCCAGTTAGGTGGGCCCTTGCACTACATAGTTGGTAAATCTAAAAGAAATTGGGTAGAAATTGAACAGAAAATTGTATAGTGTATGGCCAGCCTAAGTATGGTTCTTCTGGGCGAAGACATTATGTCTGCAGTTGCTTTGTTTATAATGGAATAAAACACCAGGATGAGTTCACATTGGAGTACAACTCTTATCTTCTATTAATTTACATTTGTTTATGTCGAAAAAATTAAAAAGTATGCAACCTTTTTCCATGTTTTCTGCAGACCTAAAGGTACTTGGGTGTAAATGGATGTTTGTTAATTTACATTTGTCTGCTCATAGACTTACATTGTGGTTCTGTCTGGATCAGGGGCGGATTGACCATTCGAGCACTTGGGCACTGCCCAAGGGCCTGGGGTCAGTAGGGGGCCCCATGAAATGCCCCTGGTACCTTTTTATAGGCTTTGTTTGAGTGTTGGCAAGGACACAGGGGCCCCATGAGTTGTCAGTCCACCCCTGGTCTGGATCTCCCTGAAGAACTGACAGATAGATCAAGACTAAACATGCATGTGAAGAACATCCTGGAGGTTAAGAGGGGACACAGAAAGCTGACCTGCTGAACCAGGAAAAAAAGTATGTCTTGCTTGTGTGTGCAATGTGATAATATGCAGATCATTCCGATAAAAAATAATGTTTTAGTCCTGTTAATGATAAAGAAAGAAGGAAAATATGTAGAACTAGAGATTCTTTTTAACACATGACCATTGCCATACAGCACACAATGCTAATATTCTTGTATTATCTGCACTTTTTAACATGCAGCTTATGTACAAATTATTTCTGATATATTTAACATAAATAAATTCCTTTTTATCCATTAAACCAGGGCCACCGTCAGCTCCACGCAATGCTATTTCCAACATCAATGAAACAAGTGTGTTCTTGGAATGGATGTTCCCTGCAGACACGGGTGGAAGGAAAGATGTCTATTACAATATTGTATGCAAGAAGTGTAACTCCATTTCCGGCATATGTGAGGAATGTGGAATACATGTCCGTTATATACCTCAGCAAAGCGGCCTGAGAAACACGACTGTAATGGTAATAGATCTGCAGGCACATACAAATTACACCTTTGAAATTGAGGCTGAGAACGGTGTGTCTGAGCTGAGCCCAGGATCTAGGCAGTATGTCTCTGTAAATGTCACCACCAACCAGGCTGGTAAGTGTGATCTGATATATTGTACAAGGCAAAGCATGGCAAAACGAAATAAAATGCTTTGATGGATTTTCAAATATATGGCTGAAACTGCTGAAAAAGTATTTATTTTGTTGTTAGGTTTAATTTTGTTTTTGCTCCTTAATTAGCTGTTGCTTTTACGTCTTTTGTTTTTGGGGGGAAAAAAATCCTTTAAATGTAATTTTGGTTTTGAGAATGAACGTATGTTTTACTCACCATGTAAATATATTGGTATATTCAATGTTTCCAGTAGCTGTATTTAAATCTGTGTCCTATCTGAGATGAAGATAGAAAAATCAATGCAATCTTCAGAATAGGCACTGTCCTTCTCAAAGATGGCCATGGCAACAGAGGAAGAATATTTCAATAGTTATTATTCAATTAAAATGTTCGTTTTAAAGGACAACTGTACCTTTGGTACAACTGTCAATTGATCACATTCCTCCACCCCTTTTAGTGCACCCCATCAATGAATATACTTATCTTTCTCCTTGATCAGGTGATCTTCACTGTGTGACCTGGTCCAGGTCCACACAGCCTTTCCGATGGAAACACCTCTTCCTGATGTGCATGGTATTTGCGGTGTGCTCACACAACACCCCCTTCCCCTGTACACCAATTTTGAGTTGGTCTTAATTACTACCATTTTGCTTATTTGAGAACTGGTGGTCATTCTTTTAGAATCTGTCACAGCCATAGTGGCGGTAATGAGAACCGAAACAGATGCAGTTGGTGACTCTGATCCTTCGCAGCATAAAATCTATTTATCAAGCTATGATCAAGGCCCCCTGAGATCTGAAACATGTAAGCTGCTTGAGTTCTGTATTTTTTACCTCTGCCTATACTAAATAAATGGATTTTATGCTGTGAAGGATCCGAGTTACCAACTGCATCTGTTACAAATCTTCATCGCTGGCTTTTGGAGCCTGTTGATCGATCAGTGGATGATAGTCTTTCGTGTTAAACTGGATTATTGGGATAGTAGCACAATTCACGCTTTAAGGTAGTAAGAACTACCTGAATCTGGCGTACGTCAATAGAAATTGGTGCAAGGCTTCCACGAGTTAGGCGCAGGCCATGTTAAAAAGGTCATACTGCCAGAAAAGTAACATTACTACTTTACTGAGTTCTCCTGACAGGGTTTCAGCAAACTAAACGTCATTCAGTTAGGATTTACATCTACTTTAATTCAAGGCTCAATATGTTCTGGGTTCGTTCTAACAGTCTGCCCAAGACCCAGTTTATCTTGGGCAAAATATCATTCCACACTTTATTGAGGGCCACTCCAGTGCATTTTATTTCTGCATCAAAAATGCATGGACAGTAGGTTTTATGGGTTTCAATGAGTTTACACCAGTGTGGTCAGTTCCAGTGCATTCCAATGAAGAAAAAACAAGTATAACATCCTGCATTTTTTCTGAATTGAACTGTACTGGAAGACAGCACAATGCATAAAAATGCACTAGAATGCATCTAAACACATCAAAAACGCACTGGAATGCACATGCCCCTAATTGTTAGGAATTATTCAATATTTCCTTTTTTTTCTTTGTTAAACTTTAATGCAGCACCTATACTGTGATATTGTGTAGGTTTTCACTGTCCTATTTTTGTTTTTTTGTTGTTGTAACTATATTTGTAAAACCAAATAAAAATGTATTATGGAAAAAAAAAAAAAAAGAAAAAAGGGGAAAGTGCACTGGAATGTATAAAAAATGCATCAAAAACGTGCCAGAACACATAAAAAATGCTCATATGGAAACACATCCTGAAACGCATCTGGACTGTGTTTCTGTTGTGTGAACTGGCCCTAAAGGAAAAGTTTGAGATGACTAAAAAATAAACACACATACTCAATTCTGTGCTGTAGCATTGGTCTGAGGCTGAAGCTGACCCCGCTGACTCTAAGCCCAAGAACTGAGAGATCACATGACCTCTGATCGTTCAGTTCTCAATCAGCTCTGAGCAGACAACAGAGACCGCCAGTCACCGCTCTGTGCTCTGCCCTTCCAGCACTGACCATACTTCTCTTTTAATTTCATGTTCAGGGTGTTCTGATGAATCCACTAAATTAAATTATGTATCTATTTTATGAAATTAACATTTTGAGGATGTTTTAAAAACACACAAGCCAAGTGTTGCCAATTGAAATGCCCAAATCTACTTTCCCAGTAAAGGCAAGCTGTGCCTGGGCAGTGACATCACTGCAGTACATATGCCGAATGTCTGCTATCAGATGAATTATGAATCAGATGAATGCTTTATAGCTTTATTTATAGCTCCCTGGTTGGTAATTGTTGCCTTCCCTGAGTTTATTAGCCCTTAGAAAATGCCTCGATTAATGAAAGGATGTAATCCATTGTGAAAACATCCTGAGACTTTTCTGAATGGCTTTTCAGTCAGCGCCTTTGATCACGCACGCCTGTGTTTGTATTTCTTTATCTAGCTGAGGAAAAGAACAATAAATTGACAACAAAAAAGAGATATATGTTTCTTATGTAAAAAGAGTTTATTGAGCTGCAAGGAAAGGTGATAGCAATATTTTTCATAATGTAGTAGCAGATGTACACCACTGTTATTCTATTAAAAAAAAATGTGTATTACTCTTAATAATGAAAAGCCTGAATAGCAACTACAACTTTCTACATTTGCCGAATCACTTCGGAAGAAGACAAAAATGATGGAGTAATAGAGAACAGAGCACTGTGCTTTTACCTATTTTTATGTATTTATTCAGTTAGTGGCAAGTCACTCTTGAATAACAAAGAAGTAGTGTCAAATTTTATGTGCCCAACAATCAGGCAGCAGGAAAACTCGACTGTTGTATATTGCAGTTAGTCTGGAAAGCAGTCATTGTTATTATTTTTATATATAATCATTTATATAGACCTACTTATTTTTTTTTATAGCATATGTTCAAAGCTGAACTCCAGTTAAAGGGATTAATACATAGATACAATACTTACAAGAGAGCTGTCTTATCCACCAAAGGATTTGTAATTCTATTCATCCTCTTCTGATATTTACACAGTTCCGCCACACAGCACAGACCGGTCAGGTGACCTGATTTATCTCTGCTGTAGTTCAATAACACTTACAGGTTGTGTCCCTCCTCCAGCCAGCCTGTGATTTGACAGTGAAAGGAGAAGCAGGAGACTGATGCAATCATCTCTCTTTCACTCTGCTCTCTCCTCCCATTAACATGCTTCTTGCAATGCAGCACAACTGATTGGCTCCTTGTGCTGCTTCTCCTTCCCCCAGTCTAAGCTCAGCTATACAGCGATTGCAAAACGCTGATACCATGTCAATTTCAGATACCATTTGCATTTAAAATACATTCAATGATGTATTAAGAAATACAAAGCTGCAATAATTTGTTAGATTATTTACTGGTAAGACATGAAGACCATGACATATCTTTCTGAACAAGCTAAGACCTCATAGCTAGGGACCATGAGACAAGTTTCTTTGGTATCTGGTTAATTTGTTCCTAGGCGAAACTACTGGTAACCAATGTGATTTCCAGAACACTGTCACGTGGATCATCATAGGGCCTTTACTCATAAGTCCCCAGGACAGCTGCCACCTTGCAGCTTCCTCTGGGCATGGCCCAGTGAGTGAGACAGTCCCTCTCCAGACCAGATCCCTTGCGGTGATGTCCTGCAATTAGCTTCTAAGTATATCCATCCTGGCCCTCAGCCCTGACACCTCTGAGGCCTCTAGAACAGCAGCACAGTCCACGGGCTGCCTGAGGGCAGAAGCTCCTCAGGCTCTGAAACCCTCCTGGGGAAAAGGAACCCAGCTCTCCAGTGCTTTAGACTACTTATCACCTTTCCAGTCCCCTTCTGGACACTCCTCTCCAGGGATTGGCTGGAGCATGATACATATTCAGGTTGGTTTTCTGAATCTCCCTCCCTAAGCTCTGGAAGCTCCTTCCAGAGGAAGGGGGAAGCAATCAAACTTCCAGCCTCTGAAACCTTGAAACACTGTATAGATGAATTGTAATGTGTTGCCATTCATTCTAAATGGCACCTAATGCACATATACAGTAGAAACAAAAGCAACTAGCTTTCATCTCAATGCAGTTTGCAGATTTTTAAACAATAACCTTTGGGGTGTGTTGTGTTGCTCTTCAAAAAAAATCTGCATTTTTTTTTTCATGCGTTGAGACTCATTGGGAGCCCATTCAAAGTGAATAGGCTGCCTTACTGAAATGCATATGAATTCATGCATAGATAAGTAGTTGGACACTTGTATTAGA